GCTGTCTTTTGGAATAGGAAACAACATAGTGTTGACCTACCTAATGACAAAGACTTTGATGAAAAACAGATTCCTACCAAAGCTAGACCTATCCAAATGAATGCCGACCTTAAAAAACACTCGTTGGTTAGAAATTCGGGATTTAGAACCCAATGGTCTTATCCAAAAATCCCGATCACCTTAGTCTTGTACAACTTTCTATGTCAATAAAAACTGCGAGATAGAACGAGGTACCCCTAGACTAATGATCAATTACAAACCCTTAAACAAAGCCTTAAAATGGATCATGTACCTTATTCCTAATAAAAAGGACTTGTTACAAAAATTGAATTCCGCCTTTATGTTTTTCAAGTTTGACATGAAGTCGGGTTTCTAGCAAATCCAAATCTATCATAAGGATAGATACAAAATTGCTTTCACCGTCTCGTTTGGACAAGTATGAATGGAATGTTATGCCTTTTAGTCTAAAAAATGCACCCTCCGAATTTTAGAGATTTATGAATGATATATTCCATCCATATTCATAATTCCGCATTGTTTACATAGATGATGTTTTAATATTTTCAAATTCCATTGATCAACATTTCAAGTATTTGAAAACATTCTTCTATCTTACAAAACAAAATGGTTTAGTAGTTTCCAAACTTAAGATTTCTCTGTTTCAAATTAAGGTACGTTTCCTAGGTCACTACATTACCCAATGAACCATTACCCCAATAGAGAGATCTTTAGAATTTGTAAATAAGTTTTCCGATAAGATTCGTGATAAAACTCAACTACAAAGGTTTCTAGGGAGTCTAAATTATGTTCTAGATTTCGTCCAAACATAAACCGTACTCTGCAAAACCCTTGCATGATATGTTAAAGAACAAACTAGTTTCTCGGTCCGATGAACATACTATGATAGTTCAACATATGAAGAAACAAGTCTTAGAAATTCCTTGCATCCACTTAGTCGATCCCTCCTTACCAAAAATTGTAGACACCGATGGCTCGATCTAAGTTATGGTGGAATACTAAAACAAGTGTCTACAAGTCAAGAAAAAATTATTCAATTTACTTACGCTCACCTGGAATGATTATCAAAAGAATTATTCCACAATAAAAAAGAAGTCCTTAGCATTGTCATATGCATCCAAAAATTTTAAAGTGATTTACTCAACAAAAAATTCCTTTTATGCATTGATTGTAAATCTGCAAAAGAAGTTTTATAAAAGGATGTTCAAAACATTACATCAAAATAAATTTTTGCCATATGGCAAGCAATTCTTAGTGTTTTTGATTTTGAAATTGAATTTATTAAGGGAGAACAAAATTCAATTCTAGATTTTCTAACCGGAGAATTTCGCAAAATAGGTCTTGATGGCCACAAAAAACAATGAAAAAAAACCCCTTATTCCGGACACGTAAAGCCCCTCCCCAAAACCTATCTCTATAGCAAAACCCATTTTATCTTGGGTCGATGCCACCTTAAAACAGGAAAATAAAACCCCTGTTAAAGCCCGATCCATTAAGAATTGGGTCCAAAACTTAACGAACCGACCAAAACTTTTTCGGCCCTCCAACAAATCTCGGGTATGACATCTCGGTCTGTTTCAAAACCGAGAGAAAGATTTTTTCTCATCAAACCCCTTTCTCAAGAATCTAATGATTCTTCATAAATTATTTCACAAAATGCTATTTCACAAAACACTCGGATTGTTTCGCACAAAACAAATTAAAAAAATCGGAATCCGAGTATTTCTTGAAAAAATCTTTTCAAAACGTTTTTACCGTTAAAGATGGGTATTACTATGGTGATCCCTGTAAAATTGTTTAAAAGTTTTTCCCTCCAGGATGGCATTTTAAGCCATGAGACCTATCCAAAACTAAGCCTACTAAATGGCTATCCTTGAACAAACATGATCGACTACCTTCAAGAACTTTCCTACCCCTTACAAAACCAAAACAACTTACTTTACTTGCCGAATTCATAAAATAAACCATCCTTTTGATTGAGGGACACGACCTTTCTAAACAAATTAGTTTCCCAATCAATTTTAAACCAAGTGTCAATCATTGCCTCTCCTACTCCTACTAGGATTACTAGCGAGGCATGGTTCAATACTATCTTCCTTCAAAAAGAAAAGAAAAGAAAAGTCACTCATGGTTTTTCTACTTTGATTCATATTTTATCTCAATAAACATTCCCATGTGTTTCCTTCAATGATGGAACTATTTTGGTCCTCTCCCGGAAATTATTTCCCCTTGGTTTCGAGAGTTTTACTCTATTCAAAACACACTTATAAACCTACCGAAAAAGAAAAAAGATTTACACCTCTTTTTCTTTTTTGCACAAAATTCTTTCTTCCATGGGTTTGTTCTTAGTATTATGATACTATTTACCAAGAACAAGTTAAGATCCTTATACGAAGATTCAAAGTAAAATGGTGAGATTCATTTAAAATTCCTTCCTCTCTCGTCAAAAGATTCGGTAGAACAATGGCTTACAAAACAAGGCCTTATGAAGCCCGATTCTACCACTTCAAGTTTCCTAGCTCAAAAAGCTTTTGTAAGCACTAGGTTAGCAGTTGCAAAATCGAAGAAGAATATTTTACCATCATGTCCGAAATGGTGCAAGATAGATCAAATTCCTCCCAAGCGAAGACTACGAGTTAGAACCTACTGATAAATTTAGGTGATGATAATGAAAATGACTACTTTGGAATTTTTCCTCTAGTTCACCACTTGTGAACTCCACGGCGAAATTGCACCTTCCGGGCAATTTCCCATTTCAAGACAAAACAACTTTTGGGGGTGTCACTTGTTCATCCATGTGAATGCCAAGATAAAACAACTTTCGACGTCTCACTTGTTCATTACTATTCACTCACGTGAGATACTGTTCATCACTCGTTCACTATTCAAGATAGCTTTCTTCTCCTATAAAAGGAAGCTCATTTCTCATTTGTAAGGGTGCCAAAAAAAAAAAAAAATTTCAACATTTGTATAAGAACATTTTCTCTCCGTAATTTTTGTCTCTCAAATACTCTAAGATTGTACCACTATCTTCAAAACTCCACAAGCAAATTACTCTTGCTTATCCAAAACTCGTAAGTTATTTTATCAATAAATAAAATTTCTTACTTTCATTTATGTCTTTTAAATCTTCATATTAAGGTATATCGATCGAAAACCACAACATAGTTCCTTGACAATACATAGTATTAATAGAGCCTAACCATGGTAAAACAACGCCACGTACCAATCCGAAAATTATCAATATATAAAAATTTTACGAAAACTAAAAAAATAACAATTTATTTTTTATATTTTTCACTTTTTTTTTTTTGGTTTGGTAGACCTTTTGCCTTTATTTTCTTCTTCTTATATATATATATATATATATATAGAGAGAGAGAGAGAGAGAGAGAGAGAGAGAGAGAGAGAGAGAGAGAGAGAGAGAGAGGCACCTTTGGTTTCAAGTCAACCGGGATAGGCACCTGGTTGGCTTGGGCAACCGAGTTGCACATATGCGAGGAAAAAAACGGGAGGGAGGCCACGCGTGATTGGCTCGTCGCTGGCGAGCTAGCGTGTTTGGGCTTGCCATTGGAGGCCCGCGCACCGGGCCTTGCTTGTCACTCAACCGAAAAAAAAAACCTACAACTTTTGACGTACATGAGATTGTCGGAAGTTCGTCAAAAAATCGGAGGTCAACTTTCGGATCCATAGAAATTAAATTCCGGCATAATATTTTTTCCCCAAACACCTTTAAATGACCAAAATAAAGTAATAAACACATCTAAAACCTTAAAAATCATGTTAATACACAAAAAAAAAAAAATACAAAATCAAATCGGATTTTTTTTCTTTTTTAGCTCCGATCTACCTCCTCTAACTCGTTCAATGGCTTGAAACCACCATGGACAAACTCATCTCTCAAAAATAAAAAAATCTAGTGGATTTTTACTCGCCGAGTGGCCTTAATAAGCTTGGCCGACGATCTCTTTCTCCTATCTCTCTCATCCTCTTAGCCTTCTCTCTATCTAGGGACCAAAATGGATGAGAAAATGAATTTGTGGATCGAAATATACGTTCGAAAATATCAAGAATCAAAGTGTAAAAAAAATCATGAATAATGAAACATATAATGAAATATGAGAAGATAAATAGTAAAATGTAAATGTGTGTATAATGTTTTAAATAGTGACTTTATACTAGCAAACACTTTACTTTTGTTTTTTAGTAAATTATAAACGCTTTCTTCGAAGAAGAAATAGAAAAGAGGCTGAATTTTGACCAAATCAAAGGGCAAAGATGGATGTAACATCTCTGACCTTACTTACCCAAATAATGTAAAAACCTGTTGCTCGCACCACCTAATCATTTCTTCATAAAAACCCATCAAATAGAAATAAGACTTAGTAGCAATCAATTCCAATTTGGGAGCCAAACTCTCCACGCTGCTGGCGCCAATACTTTCTCCCTTTTCTTGATGGATACAAATTTTTTGGCACCCAATGGCGCCCTTTTTGTTCGTTTTCAGCGACGCTTTTTTTTGGCGGGTGGTTTTAAAGTCAAAAAGTTTCAAAACCAGTGGCATTTATGGCATTTCATCACTCACATAAGCTAGGGTTTCGAGTCCCATTTATAAAGCAGCACCTTTCATTTAGATCTGCCAGCGTGCGGTCTGTGGTGTGTGTCTGTCGGTTCACACACTCTCTCTCTCTGAATGTTGGTTTGCTCAAAATCGACACTGTTTATCCTTCACCAACCCTGATTCTTCATTCTTGATCGTCACATTAATACCGTGCTTGTCCAAGTTACTGATTTGCTTCTACTCGATCTCTTTTTCTCCAAATCTACAAACATCGTTAGATCTCTCTGTTGGATCCATAGAGCTTTTACTGAATCTTCACTTCATACTTCAAGTCAGTAACTAGTGTTATTCAATACCCATTTGAGAGAATCGTGTTTTAGGAACTGGGCTTGTCTTTAGATCTCACGCTTAGTTGCTTAAAATGTTGGATCCAAGTGATAAAGTGAGTAAATTTTAGCTAGTTTATTGATTTCATCTTCTATCAATCTAGATCCAGATCAAGCCTAATGTTTTTTGTTGTTCATTTCATTTATTGTTTTCAGGGATCAGAGTCTGAAGAAATGAGTAGCAAATCACAAGAAACAGATAACCCACAAAAGAAAACTTGTGCTGATTGTGGTACTTCAAAGACTCCTCTTTGGAGAGGTGGTCCAGCTGGTCCCAAGGTGATTGAATTTAATCATAGATCTGATCAGGGGTTTTTTTTCTTTTAATTATATAGTCTTTGAGTTGATATTAATTTTGTGGGTTTTGTTTGATTTTGCAGTCACTGTGCAATGCTTGTGGGATTAGAAGCAGAAAAAAGAAGAGAGATGTTTTAGGGTTGAATAAAGGAGCAGCAAATGACAAGAGAGCGAAAAAAGGAAGTAACAATAACAACAATAATAATAGTAAGCAATTAGGTGATGGGTTAAAGGAGAGATTATTGGCTCTGGGTAGAGAAGTTTTGATGCAGAGATCAACAGTGGAGAAGCAAAGAAGAAAGTTAGGTGAAGAAGAACAAGCTGCAGTGTTATTGATGGCTTTATCTTATGGTTCTGTTTTTGCCTAATAAAAGCTGATAACTTTTTGTTTAGGTGGGGGATTAAGAATTTAATGTACTAGCTGACTAATTGTAAGTGTATTTTGTGATTTGTGGATTGGGTTGTTAAATTTTTAGGTGTTCTGGGCTAACTGTATTGGGGATTTGTTGGAGGAGTTGAGTTGTGTAGCCTTGGTAGTATTTGCAGGAGCTCAAAAAACGTATGAGATTTCATTCTATTTTTCCTAACATATGTGGCAGTAGTAGTAATCCTTAATTGGATGATGTCCTTGTCTCTTTAAATTAGCGTGCATGTTTTTGGCTTTCCTTTGTAGTAAATTACTGTTGGTCTCTCTATTTCAAGAATCAAAATAATTAGTTCTTATTTTAAAATTTAATTTTTAGATTCTTAACTACTATAAACGATATTTAACTTAATAATATTTTGTTTTAAAAAATGACAATTTTTCCTTGTATATCCTTTTTTTAGCTTTTTTTTATTTCTATAACAAAAAATGAGTATAAATTGAAAATAATTAAATAAAAAAAATATAAGAATTAAATTATAATTTTTAGAACAAAAGAAGCTAATTAATTTATTTTTTGGAACTGAAATTAATTTATAATTTATCCTTTTCCTATGTAGTAGGTGGCTAGATGTTTTTCATGGCTAATTGCTCAAAGTGTTCTAAGATTAAAAATGAGTAAATTAACAACTTGGGATGAAAGAGGACGGTATGATCTCACATCTAATAAATTCTAAGGAACCATTTCTATACATTCCTTGCATTGGTTGCTAGGAACTTTTTTCAGTTTTGCAGTACCAACTATCTAAGTTGGGGTAAAATACAAGAAGCGGGAATTTGAATTTTATTTACAATACATAATTTTTGGATCCCGGTGAAACGAAAAGGTATTCAAATTTTAAAAAATAACGTTACTTCTTAGTTCTTTAAGCACTGTACTATTAGTCTATTACTATTTGCATACCAGTCAAACGCACAATTGCAACTAACTATTGGAAGGTAGGGTTTACACTGCTTTTTGAGATTCTATTTACCGACCCGTGTGATCATATTCTCCAGCGGGGTATGGTTTGGTGTACAATTTGAAGTTGACTTGGTTTTTACTTTTATGAGAAAGGAAACAATAAAGATGAAGAAAATATTTTGACCACCAGCCAATTAGTAAATTAATAATTTGTCTTTTTAGTTTTGAAAAACGAATTAATTGGTTTTTCTTTTAAAAACTAATTATATAATTTTTATGTTTTTAATTTTTTTTGTATTTTAATTCTTGATACTTTTTTAATTTAATTTATTTTTATTTTTAAGAAATAAAAAAGAAAAAAATGTGGAAGGATTGATGAGAAAAAAATATTTTATAAAATAAAATAATATTAAATTAAATATAATCAATATTAATCAATTAATTAGGTTTTTAAACAAAGAGAACTAATTAATTTATTTTCAAACTCCGGTTTTTATATGCTGCCATTTCAGTTTGATTTTTTTTTCTTTTTTCTAATGGTCATGGGGTTTTTTTAATCAACTCTTTTGTAAACATAGTATTTTGGGATAAATTTTCCTTTTAAAACTAAAATCTACCTATTCATTATTGATGTGCCCTTATTAGGATTAGTTTATTTGTGAAATAAGTGTGGCAATCTAAAGCTGGTTCAATTCACTTTAAAAGTAAAATTAAAACAGCAGAACTAAGAATCTCTCCAAGCTGAATTGATATGGTGCACAAATGAGCAAGAAGATGGGGGATCGCCATACTTAAAGATTGTGAGTGCTAAAATTTGAATTTGTTTGCCACTATCCTAGGTAGATAAAAACTTGGGTAATCGAGGAATAAATCTCTTAAAGTCTGTATTATTCATGTCTGCTAAAGAAAAAAAAAAAACAAGTCACCTTCTTATAGCTGAAATTCATTCTTAAACGAGGTACACCTAAATGTCTCACACATAAAATATAGGAGAAAATCAAGTTGTCCTTACTCATAATTCTTCCCTAAATATGAAAGAACCCAAATCCTTAACTTATTGAAAATGATTAATTAAGTCCTATAAAATAGGGATTTATAATCTAAATAGAACAGAAAAGAAATAAAACAACATATTCAACAAATGATTTAATAAATAAACATCATAGGATTGAATCCTTTCAAGCTTCTATTCGGCCATGTAAGCTCTAGCTATCAAGCAAATAATTCAAATGGTCCAACGCCCTTAAAACATTCAGAATTTTTCAATGCAAGATCAAAGTTGACTTGAAGCTCTTTTGCACCAGCTTTTGTCATTAAAACTACGTGCGTGTGCATGCCATCATCTTGTGTGCCATGCGAACCATGATGCTCATCATCTTTCCCCTCCTGAAAAGGATTTGCCCTCAAATCCAGTTCATCTTCCCCTAAGGTGATAGATCACAAATATTAAAAATGGCTAAAATTCCACAGCCAGCCCACAATTCAATCTAGTATGCATTGTTGTTCAACTTCTCCACCACTTGAAAAGGTCTATAAGCTATAGGCATTCTTAGACTTCCTCTTACTAGAGATCTTTTCCTACGAAGATGAATCTATACCAAGTCCCCTGGTTTAAACTAAACTTGCTACCTATCCTTGTTGGCATACTTCTCAATTCGTGCACTATGGCTCTTAATTTTCTACTTTACTTTCTCATGCAATTTCTTGATATATTCAGCCTTCTTAACATCATCCATGTTAGTATGCTTGTTGGTTGGTAATAGAACTAAATCAAGAGGTGTAATAGGGCTAAATGTGTAAGTAACCTCAAAGGAGAATTTTTAGTCCAACTATGAAACAAATGATTACAAGCAAATTTAATATAACCCAAGCAATCATCCTAGTTTTTCAAGTTCTTGTTAGCAATAGTTCTAAGTAAGAAAGGCGAATAAGTTTTACAACTTATGATTGTCCATCGGTTTGAGGATGGCAAGTTGTGCTAAACATTAATCGTGCATCCAATTTTTCTCAAAGTGTCCTAAAAAATTGGCTCAAGAACTTAGCATCATGATTAGATATAATGCTTCTTGGAATACCATGTAATCATCCAATTCTTTGGAGAATAAATCAGCAATATGTATGGCATCATCCGCTTTGTGACAAGAACAAAGTGTGTCATTTTTCGAGTCGATCCACCATTATCATGATCTAGTCCTCCTTCCTCTCGCATTCTTAGTAACTCTAACATAAAATCCATGCTAATGTTTAATCCATAATTGATTTGAGATAGATATAGGCATGTACAATCTTTATACTCCCTTTTGGCTTTTGGCCTTCTTACATATAACACATCGCTCAACCACTCGATGAACATCACGAATCATCTTTGGCCAATGAAAATACTCTTTGAGCATAGCTAGAGTTCTTCTAACCAAAATGGCTTACAAGTCCCCATTCATATGACTCCCTCATAAGCAATTCATGAGAAGATTGAGGAATGCAAATTTTTCCTTGACTTGAACAAATAGCCATCATGCTTGTAGAAGCCTTGAATTGCTCATTTCTCACATTTTTCATACAATGCTGAAAAGTTAGTGTAACTCCCGTGAAACTCCTTAACCACGAGCTATATGTACTCGATATATTATATCCGTATATATGAAGTATTAGGTGTGATTTACGTGCCATTTTAATATTTAGAGATGGTAACATGCTTCGTGTTTATGTGAGGAGTTATGAAAAAAAAAAAAATATATATATATATATATTTTTTTTAGACATGCCAAAATTTTAATTCCCGAGAAAAATATCTCATGGAATATCCATATTTATGTGGGTATGATTTATGTGCCCTTTCTTTTCTATTTTATGGTGTTAAAATATCTAAGATTTTGAAAGTGTTCATAGGCATAACCTTTTTAGGAATTTAACTAATCATTCTTTATTTTTTCATAATATTATATTTAAAATGACCATGCAAGTGAAAGAATTTTCCAAACGTGGTGCATGGGCTGAATTTTTAAGAACCAAAAAGACCTTAGGAAGTTGGTTAATTTAATTAGTTTAGTTACCTATTAGTTACCCATCTTTAGTTATTGATTTGACACCAAATCTACCACCATCCACTTTGACTTTCACTTTGCCAACTTGCCTCCTTTTTTGTCTCCATCAATTGACATTTTAAACCATCGAATTTTGACACATGTGATACTCATAAATGAGGGGAAGAAGTGGTCTAAAAGTGTGATATAAAAGTGGGACAAAGATGTAAACTTTGCCATTTTTGGCTAGACAAAACCGTAGCTACCAAAAGAGAGGATATAAACGACTTTGAGAGGGAAGAAAGACGAAAAAGAAAGAAAAGAAAGAAAGGAGAAAAAGAAAAAGGGAAAGCTTGGACAATCTTTAGGAAAGCTAAAGCAAAGTAAATAGGTTTATGTTATTTTATGTTATGCTCTATATTTCTTGTTTATGTGCTTAAATGGGGTGGTTAGTAAAGACTTTCTATTATGTTGTGTATGTTGGTTTATGTTGATTATGTTTGTAATATGTGTTAGATGGCTTGATATGCATTTAATTGTGAACTTTATGTTGGGTTGTATAAGTATGATGATGGATGGTTGGCATGTTGATGTATCCATGTGAGATCTTTGTGTGATGGATGCTTATATATGTGTGGATGGGTTTGGTTTGGTTACAACAACATGGGCTTGGACATGTGTGTGGATGGTCTTGGATGACAACAAAATAGACTTGGATATCCTTAAGAAAGGCATTCGACCTAGGTACCAAAATGGTCAAGTTTGGATTTCTTTTTATGGAACTAAAGATCTAGAACTTCTTGGTGACCCAATGAAGTAGAAAGTAGTGAGTTAGGATGAAAAGAAATTACCTAGAAACAAAAGAAAATCTTTTGCCCTTTTTGGACCCATTCAGCCTAAAATCCAAAAATTTGGGTTTGGAGTTCCATTCATCCAACTTGAGAATTAATGGTTCAAATACAACTAAATAAGTATGAATTGAAGTGTAGAAAGGTTATATTTTAAGAAAAACACAACTTT